GGTCGATTTGGCTTTATACGGGTTAAAAACAGGCTTGCCGTATTCCAAAATGGGCATACACACGGCACGTAATAGAACCGCCGTATTTTTTTGTGGTAAGGACTCTAAACAAGTTTTGTACCACTGTGGTAGCCTTTCGTGCGATATACTCGCAATGAGTACCGAATGAAAGTTTCCCTGGGATGAGAAAGCCCATATCTCTTTGCTGCTCCACCTTTTTGATTGGTGCTCCTTCTATGCTATATGTGAATTGTTCATTTTTCAACGAGAGATGCAGAACACTAGTTTTCTCTTTCAAAAGCTGTAGACCCACTTTTTAGACCAGTTGCTAACAGTACCAATGACTCTCTGAGCGCGCGTGCAGTCTTCCAACGAACGCATCGGAGAAAATAACTTCAAGTCATCGGCAAACGCGGTGCATGATGCAGCACACCTAGCAATGATTCAGGGCAATTCATACGTAAAAATGTTGAAGAGGACAGGAGAAAAGAAGCCACCCTTAGGCACCCACTAGCCGCCTTTCGTGGATAAGAGAAGGTATCATTGACTTGAAGCATGAACTAACGGTCAGTTAGAAAGGCACGAATCCAGGAAATAATCCGAGAATGTACCCCAATCAAGGAGAGCTTAGTAATTAGTTTTTGGTGGTCTACTCGATCGAAAGCTTTAGAAAAATCTAAGTATACTATATCCACGCTACTCCTTCATCCAAGGATGCGGTCCAGTTGTTAAGCGATTTAAGTAGTGCAGTAACAGTGGATTTCCCTTCTTGAAACCCGTGCTGAAATGGTGAAAGAATGGAATGCTCCTTAATATGCGCTACAATTTTCTTCTTCAAAATTTTTTCAAAACCACGAGCAAAAATTGACGTGATACTGATAGGCCGATAATTATCCGGACAATCATAAAGCGCCTTTTTCGGTATAGGAGTGACATATGCCATTTTCCATCTAGAGGAAATTCACCCTGTTCAAATTTCGCAAATCACTCGCGTACTCTGCATTGCCCTGGAGCACGTCAATTTGAATGTACAAATCTTTCTCGCGTTTTGAACCGCATTCTTGCTCTTGCTGTAGAAGAAAAGCATGAGGCGGCGATGACCCTCAAATTTCACATCTATTCGTCCTATTCAGACAGACTTTGAGGAATGTCAACAGAGTTGAACCGGGACATAGAAGAGGAATCACCCTTCCAGAAAATACATATACGATTTCATGAGTTCAGGTTCTTGATCTTTTGTGCAACAGTTGATAAACTCGGGGTGTAGAAAACCGGCAGACTTTTCGGACTAGCCAATATTTCGCTCTGGTAACTTTGACTAATCACTTGCCTGCTTCGTAATTTAGCAATTATTCGCGTCTGGGCTTAGGTCACTGGGAGATCCTCGCTTGGGCAAGACGAGCCGTCTACTCCGAAAGAAAATGCTAGGAACCGTCAGTTACTATAGAATGAAACCACGCAATAGTGGAAAGACTGGACCCACTGGATGCAAATCGCATTCGCGAACTCAAAAACGTCGCAAACTAGCCATCAAATTGCAAGAAATCAGCTGCGAGATAAGTTTGACCCATTAGATACAATCAGTGCATCCGTGTTAAGATAAGCGTACTCCTAATGCTCCGGTCACCGCTTTGTGAAATCGTACAGAAAATCACCAATCATCATCATCAAACTTCAAACCGAATATT